AAAATCTTCCTTCTTATTTTAGCATGAAATAGAGTTTTTCTTTAACCCAAGTCTAGAGAATTGTTCTTAGAGGTGATACAGTGAGAGCAGAAAGTTGGAATAACAAGAATCTCGTTTGGCAGAAGGCCGTTTAAAGGAAAGTTTGCAGATCTAGAGTTCAAAGGTCACTCAATTCTAAGGATAGTGAACCAGATCAAAATTAAGGTAAAACTATCATTTTTTCCTAAAGTTAGAACGAATTTTTTTGAAGATCTTAAAGAATCGTAGGGATCATGATGATGTTGTTATTACAATTATGTCCATTTACAGTTTTACACTGATATGTCATGATATACATTTAAAAGATTAGATAATTTGTTAGATAGAATGTTGATGAAATAAAATTTATTTCCCAATTAGGTTCTCAATTAGAAAATATAAATACATCAACTGAAGAACTTAATAGGATTGAAGAAAAGTTAAAAAGATATGTGGAAAATTATTCTAATATAGCCCATGTTTGACAAAAAATAAATTCGGAATAGTGATTGATAGAAGAGTGTGAGGTTAAAAAGAAATGAGAATTTTTGGGTTTATGTGTAATATTATTTTATTGATAGAATGTGTGGTTGAAATGAAAAAAGAGAAAAAAATGAGAATAAGAATGAGAAAAAATGGGTGTCAAACAGAAGGATACTAAAATTTAGAATGAAATTATATAATAAAATTCAAGGAAGAAGATGTACTAACCTTTAAAATTATTTATGATGTTTGAACTACTATTGTTTTATTATATACTAATCTATTAAATCAAATAATGAATTTGTTTAAATATAAGAGACTAATCTCTAAAATTATACATAAAAAAAGAATATATGTTGTAATAAATGAAAACTCATGTCATTAAGGGTATTAAGGGTAATATAGAGCTTTCATTCACCTAATCTAAACGGGGTTATAACCCACGTGGCATTACTCACTAAAAAATCGGTTTTGCACGCAAAGAAAAAGAAGAGCTCCAACTTTCTCTCTCACTTGACCGCAGCGGAACTCCTT